ATTTATAAGGTAATTCTACTTGACATATCCTGAACTCTATTCACTGAAAACAGGGACTATATTTTATAACACTCATGAAATATTCACAAAGATGACCATATATTTAGGCCACAAAAACCTCAGTAAATGTCAAAAAGCAGAAATAATGCAGATATAATTCTCTGGTCATGAAAGAAATCAACTGAGAAGACAGAAAGACCCTATCACATAAAATTTTTAAAATCCTGAGTCAAAGAGGATATCAAAACTAAAATTGCAATTTAATTAGAAAACATTGGTAACATTACAAACCAATATCCAAGTATTGGTTTATTGGCTAAAGCCATCCTCAGCAGAAAATTAGCAGTTTCAGTAGTTACCTTAATAAATAAGAAAGAATAAAAATAAATGAACTAACCACCTAGCTGAAGAAGATAGGGGAAAAAATAATCAATAATCAAAAACGGAAAAAAGGAGAAATGAATTAATGTGAAAGAAAAAAATAATAAAATAAAAACCAGAGGAATGATAATCCTAATGAATAAATTTAACCAGTTAAGACAGATTAACCACTAGCTAACCTGATCAAGAATTAAAATTAAGAAAGCACAAATATACATAATAAAAATACAAAGAAAAGAATCACAGGAGACTATTTTTTTCGATTATCTGCAAATAAATGTGAAGATCCAGATGAAATGAATCATTTTTCTAAGAAAACACGGTCTACTAAAGTTGGCAAATTAAAAATCTAAACATTAAAAACCTAAGAAAAAGGAAAAAATTGTTAAAATGGTAGGCTCCCAAAGAGCACCAGGCCCTGAGGGCTTCATAGGCTGATTTTAGGAAATTTTACAGAATAAACAGACTCTAATGCTTTTTAAACTGTTCCAGAGCAGAGACAAAAAGAGGAAAACTTCCGAATTCTAATAACAGTAGCATACGTTTGTTACCAAAAACTGACAGCAATAACACGAAAAGCAAGCTACTGACAAAAATCAGTTATGAATATTGATGCAGAAAATGTTTACCAAGTTTCAGCAAACTGAATCCAGCAGCATCTTAGAAGAATTAAAAGAAAACTAGTTCCCCCCACTCCCAGTATCATAAGAATGATTCAGTTTCATTTCCTATGTTAGGAAGTGGTTGGGTACAGTTGGTCAGCTCACTCAGCATCTATTTCAGCCTCTTTTTAGTGTGCCATGTATACTGCAGAGGCTGAAAAGCTCAGAACCCTCATTTCCCAGGCTCCCTTGCAGCTAGGTTCCTCAATGTAAATTATGTTTTACTAATCAGATACACTTGTGTGAAATTCGATTTCAGAACTCATTTAAATAGGGGAAGACATAGTAGCAAGGCACACATTTTGCTGGGACATATTATAGCAGACATAGTAAAACTCTGCAGCTGACAGTTCTAGCATTAGTTTTCTGATTCAGAGGTAACAGATAAGAAGGTGTGTTCTGGCAGCTAAGAATTCTGGTGGCAACTTCTCATTCCCAGATCACATTAAGATGGTGTGTTCCTGGAGCTAACGGTGGGAGCATGACTTTCTACTGTGGCAGAGGGAGCAGGTCTCTTGGTGGGCCAGTTCTACAGTGTGGATTTGGGAGTTATTTCTAGAGAGCTTGAACCTCTAGCTCTCCACTGATTTATAAGCAGTTCACTCCGTGTATTAAATCCCTTTCTGTTTTCTGCAAGTGAACTCTGAATGATAAAACAGATTAAAAGAAAGAAAAAATGTACAATTTTCTTCAAATATGTGGGAAAGGCATTTGATAAATTTCAGTATCCATAATTAATTTTTAAAAATCTTCATAAAATAGGAAAGATCCATATTTCTTAAAAGCCAGCATTATGTTTAATGAGGAAACATTAGAAGTATTCCCATTAAAATCAACAGCAATACAATTATGTCTATGGTCACCACTATTATTTAGCATAACTGTAGAGGTTTAACCAATGCAATAAGACAAGAGAAAGATATAAGAGGTATAAACATTGGAAGAGAGGTACATTTATTACTATTTATAGATAATTGTATACCTGGAAACCCCAATAAACTCAATTAAAAATCTGTTGCAAACAGTATGAGGACTTATGAGATGGATGGGTATCAAATTAGTGTGCAAAATTTAATTGCTTTCATCTATACAACCAGTTAGAAAACATCATGGATATGTCAATTACATCTCAAAGTTAAAAAAGAAAACATAATGGAAATAAAGACCAAAATTGCAACAGCAAAAAAGAAAATATCTGAAAATAACCTGAAACATAGTGCTTAACACTATGTGCTTAACAAAGACAACATTTTAAATTAGTAACTCTTTCAGAGAGGACTTACACAAAAGGATAACTTTCATACCCATGCATGTCTGAAAATGCTTTTATTTTGCTCATACCTGAAGGAGAGCCTGATTCGGTAGTGGACTCTAGATAGAAAGAAATTTTCCCTCAGAATGTTGAAGATATTGTTCTCTTGTCTCTTTTATCCAGTATAGCCACTGAGAAGTCCAATAGCAATCTGATTCTTGTCCATCTGTAGCTAATCTCTTGCTTTAATTTTGAAGCTCTTTAAAAAAGCAAAAACAATAGCAAATCACTTTGCTATTTACTGTCAGAGGTTTGAGCAGAACTCAAAGCGTGCCAAATCCAGCAGAGCACTGGAGTGTTCTCTCCATTACATCTGATACCATAATGCCTACTTAATGCAGAAAATATAATGTCAAAATTGTAAGCAAAATTAATCTTCAACCAATTCAGCTCATATTCTTTAATGATTTCCTCCCAAAGACATTTGAGAACCTCACCTTTCCTTAAACTACAGAGAACTGCATTTCAGTTTTTATCCACCAGATGTCACCTGAGAAACAATAAACAACAGTGGGGAGTCTATATTTGATTCTTTGCAAAAGAATAACATTTTCATCTTTTATGCATAAAAATTAGAATGTTCTTGCTAGGATATACCAGCAGTAGGGATATGAAGGCACATACCAGTTAAAACCCAGACAGAAAAGTAAAAACATTTACTCCCATATTCAGATTCTCAAATATAGTCAACTGACATTCAAGTCTTTTAAATAGATTGAGTTTCCCAAATTTTATACTAAATATAAGAGTTCTTTTTAGTGAAAATTGTTAGAACAGCTTTTAATACTAATTTCTACATGATGTAAACAGTTAAAAAACTCAACTACTCATACTAGAATGTAAGCCAAAAGAATAGATACTACTAACTCTGAAGTTCACAAACTCATTTTTACCAACAGTCTCATTCAGACTTCAATAATCTATTATCCCCTGGTGTGTGTGATGAGACTCCTTAAATGATCTACAAACCCTGTGTGATCTGGCCCTGACCACCGTTCTTGTTTCCCACTCTTTCTCTCCTGGTTCTCCAGCTACCCTGGGCCTCATTCATATCCCCAAATGTGCCAAGTATCCCTTTGCCTATGTTAGCAGTGCAATCTAGAGTGAACCTCTAACCCTCCCTTTATCTTATTAGTCATGATCCTTCTGCACACGGTTTGAATGTCAGTTCCCAAGGAAGCCTTCTTTGGCCACCTCCACCCCTACCGAAATTTGGATCCCTTCCTTCATTAACAGTTGTCAGCATTTGATTTGATCTAGAGAGTAGCCTCCATGGGGCACCCATATATTTACCATCTAGTCATCAGTAGTGCTTAATATAAATAAATTTATATTTACTTATTTATTTGTAAATAAATAATGTTTAAAATTTATTTAAAGAAAGAATTACTGAATATGGATTACAATGTTTGTACATCTCCCCTATTAGAATGCAAGTTCCATGAGGAATGAGCTTTGTTCTGCTCACTGTTGCATCCTTAGCCCAACACAAGCCCATTGCAGGCATCAATAAACATTTGTTAAATGGATCCATGAATAAATGAGTGAGTAGATATCTTCTACACAAAAAATTAGAACACATTTGGACACATATATGAAATGAGGATTAACTTTAGACAGGGCTGCCAAACACGGGAACAATTAAATGTCTTTTTTAACAGCTATTTTTGTCCACTGGCCAAGTGGTATGTGGATGACAAAAACACTGGTCACCTATGAGGCAAGTTCTAGGTGAAATTACACTTCACTTATTTTTTTTAGTAGAAATTTTGTTTCTTATCACCCTCACTCACTCACTTAGGAACCAAGAAAAAATACAACACTAAATCCTTTCATAGGGTTTTCTTCTTTCCTGGAGAAATGACTGGGATTTGTCAAGTAGAACAGTGCGGTGCAATTATTGACTATCTCTTAGGTGGGTGCAAGGGTGAAACAACTCTTCCACCCAGCCAAGGGCTTAGATGGGGGATTTTTCCAGGCACTGCCACAACATGGCACAGGGATCCTGAATGGAATTATTCAACCAGTTATTCCACATATATTAATCACATATTCAACAGCTATTTTTAAATTGAGTAATCATTATGTGCCAGTTATATTGATTTAAGCCAGGGCTGCAAAGCCAAATGAGACATGGTCCTTGTCCCCAAGAAGCTTACTATCTTTTAGGAAAGACAGGCTTTTAGGGAAGACCAATAGCTGAAGTCCAGCATGGTCCACATAAATGCGATGTACAGGGTACCATAGGAATACACAGCTCAATGTAAATTAGATTTGGGTCGGGGGTCAAGACAGTTTCCTTAAAGAGGAGACACCCAAGATTAGTCTTCAATGACAAGAAACATTTAACTGTAAAAATAAAGAAAAGGCAAACAGTTTTTTTTTTAATAAATTTATTTTATTTATTTATTTTTGGCTGCGTTGGGTCTTCATTGCTGCACGCAGGCTTTCTCTAGCTGCAGTGAGCGGGGATTATTCTTCGTTGCAGAGCACGGGCTCTAGGCACATGGGCTCAGTAGTTGTGGCACGTGAGCTCTAGAGCTCAGGCTCAGTAGTTGTGGCGCACGGGCTTAGTTGCTCTGCGGCATGTGGGATCTTCCCGGACCAGGGCTCGAATCCATGTCCCCTGCATTGGCAGGCGGATTCTTAACCACTGTGCCACCAGGAAGCCCCAAATAGCTTTTTAGAAGAGAAAATAACCTGAGGGAGGGCGCAGAGAAATGAGACACTATGGCTTGTTTAGGGAATTAGAAGAAAGTTAACTAGAAGCTAGGAGACTCTCAATGACAAGTTAATTCCTCCACTCCCACTCTCACAACCCAACCTCCCGGTGAATTTTTCTTCCTTTCTTTCTTTCTTTTTTGTTTGTGCATGAGGAAAATATAGAGACAGTAGAAGAGTTTTCAACATGAGTGACAGTTATGGCAAACGCAGGTTTTCAAATCAGCACGAGCTACTATTACTAGTTTTCTAGAGAAAATAATTGAAGCTGGTCTTAGAGACCAAAGACTCTAGTGAGAATACACTGCAACTGCAAGAGATGCTCTTGTAGCCTGGGTTGCAAGAAACCAGAGCCTAAGGGAAAAGCTGATGAGCTGCCACTTTCTAGGGAGGTATAATCTCAGGGAAACAAGAGTGAGGGGAAAAGGAGTGAGGCAGAGGCAACGTGAGGGAGGCTTCAGTCAGCCTGTGGTTGCTAACGAGTATAGTTAATGCTCCATCTCATGCGATGTGTTCGGCAAGACCAGATAAGCTATTGCATCTCAAGGCAGCCCATCAGGAGAAGGGAAGGGAAAGGAATTTATCTCTCAGCTCTTTCCCACTCCTCACTTGCCATTGGTCAACAGTGGGGCCTGTGGGGCATTAACTACCCTGGAAAGGGTGTGTCTCCAGGCACCAAGGGGAAGCTGAGGTTATACTGCTTTACTGAAGTGGGCATTTGTCATGTTTTTTGGCTACTCATTATCTTTGGGCTTATGTTATATTTGGAGAATGTCCAAATATAGGGTCCAGGTTCTGTCAATCAGACCCACTTGACTGAGAACTCCATGGGGAAGTGAGCAAGGTACCTCACGCAATCCATCATGGCAGGTGGAGGGAGAAGCAGCACCTCCAAGAGACCATGACCGGAGGTCCTAGCAGTAGCCTCTAGGGTCCGCCACTGGGGGCAAGAGATGAGCTGTCTAGGCCTAGGGACAGTGAGGTATCCCCTAGGACCATCCTCCTATGTAAGCTGCATGTAGCTCCTGGTCTCAGAGCATCATAGTTGATTCTCTGGCTCTCACCAGGATTCTGAGAACTTCTTAAAACCTTTAATAAAAAAATTATTTTTCCCTTAAACTAGAATGTGTTTTGTTTTTTGTTTTTGTTTTGTAAATCAAGGACCCTGAAGGATTCATGCAGCCTAAGAATAAATTTGGGGTTGTCTTTAAATTATGACATACTTCTAATCCTAGATTTGCTCATTTATGTGAAACATGTCTCATTAATTTCTATTCCATATCCTATAATCAAAGAATTCTAGAATCATAGAAAGATCCTTTTAGAGACTATTATGTTTTATCACTCACCTTTGGCTTTGAGCAAATCTTCATATCACTCCCACACCCATTTGAGGGAACGGAGTTTCTCCTGAAATAAACAAACAAACAAAAGGTAGTTTATACTAGCTGAAATGTCTTTGTGTCAGCCATGCAGTGAGTAGGGCTGAGAGGGCACTCTTGGGACATTTTATTTATGTGAGAGACAGGTGAAGGGCCTGCAGGCTGTAACCTAATTTAGTCAAAAACTTCTGGTAGAAAAAAAACAGTGACCTATAAATCAGTAATTTCCCTGTAATATCTAGTGAAATCAGGTCACTATTTCCAGTGCTAAGTTTGTCCCCTGGTCTCTTAGCATTTAAATATGTCATGAATTTCCTTTTGATATGGTTTATTAATAAATTTGTAGGAAAAACAAAAATTTAAGGCAAAACCCACAGTGAAGATCCATAGTGGAAACTATGTACTGGGACCAAATAGCTTTGTCAGGCATTGTCCAAATAAGCCTGTCAAATGCCTGGAGTTTGTCCAGGGGATCTGTGCAGTTCCCTTTAGGGGAACAGTCAAACAGCCCATAACGCTTTCTCGATTCAAATTCAAGTTCACCACACATTTCTCAACTGAGAGAGGTCCCAGTGAAGTGGTTGAGGGCTTACGGACTCTTGAGTCCGACCTAAATTTGAATCTAGATTCTCCCACTAACCTACTAGCTGTGCAAACCTTGGGCAAATTACTTCTCTGTTTCTGTCCATTTCCTTTACCTGTCTTGGTGGGCTGTCTGTGAGGTTTAAATGAGGTGATGGCTATAAAGCTCTCTGCACGTGGCAGAGACCCAGCAGTCAGCAAGTAAGGCCCTGAGTTTTCCTACACACGTGTGCTCCCCCTCAGACACCCATCTCAGAGGAGCGCTCCGTGGAGAACAGCAAAACGTATCGCTCCATGAAAGACTGGTCTTTCTAATCCACCAAACAGATGAAAAGCTTTTTTTTATTTTATAACCTCCATTTACAAAATGCATTTAGTTACATAATTAGAGCAAATGCCCAATATTTAATTTGTTTCAGTAAAATCTGGGCCCAATCCTCTTTCAATTCAATAAAAATAAAATCCTACTGCAAGACACACTTCTCATCTGTCCCACTTTGAAATTCTCACTCAAATCTGTGTCTATGTGAAATTCTGAATTCTTGCTAGAATTAATGTTCCCTAAGTCTGCCCAGATCGATGTCCAATAATTTACATGAAGAATATTAAAGCTTGGCCAAGAATATAACTCTTTCAGACAGTTTGCTTGACATTTAAAACTTCCAGTTTTAAATCTGAAATTAAATGTCTTTCTTGTTAATTGTCTGCCTTCACTAGTATATAAGTCCCGTGAGAATCTAGAATTTCACCCGGTACATAATAGAAACTTAATAGCTCACTGTTGAATGAATGAATGAATGAATGCATGAATGGTGAATGAACCAGTAAGCTTTTTACCACACAACTAAAAAAATAATACCTGGGCTAGAAAATAAGATCTGTACTAGGCTAAGCTTTTTTCATCTAAATGCACTGAGTTTTACAAGTAGTTTTAATTATTTTTAACTCTCCTCTCTTTTTCATTTCTAAAGTTAATCTAGAACCTTTCACATGTATGAACTGTGTACATTTTACCTTGTATGAAAATTTAAATACATTTTCAATGATAACACCCATGTGCTATTGACAAACGAACTAGACATGTTTGGTCCTAAGAGAGATTCCTGAAGAACGGATGCCTGCTCTCACAGCAGCCTTATTTTGCCAGTATAGATAATTTAAGGGGCTGTTTAGATCTCTCATTCTGGGTGGAATGTTTGTCTAATTTTGGTAGTAGTACAAAAGAACTTCTGTTAGAGGTCTTTCCAAGGGTTAATGACATCATTTCTTCCATATGACAATCTGGTTTTACTTTTTGTGAAAATATTAGAGAACTACTCTCAGATACAAAATTGTTTTCCTGAATGGGCTTTTATGTGTTAATAACTTTTCATATTTTTTTTAAAAACTGGAAATGGAACGATTAACAAAAAGTGTTTATAAGTGATTTTTGTTCTCTACTGAAAGAGGGACATGACCTTTTGACCACGATGCCAGAGGAAAAACTACTTGAAAGGAAAAATTACCTGCAGGCATTTAGATGAACTCCACACTCAGGGACATTCCATTTGTCTGCTGGCTTTAAAGGCAGCTTGATGAAGATTAACAAGGAGGAATGGAATTGCTAGGTAAAGCACACTTCCATAGACTTTGTAAGAAGAAAAGTCCTGCCTAAATGGGAGGAGACAGGATGCATGTATCAGTAGATCACATTTCGAAAGCACATCCCAAAGAGTTCTGCTTGACACAGTCTCTGCTACTTTACTACACTCCCACTACACCCTACTCTTTGACCTAAATTAATTTTCCCTAGAGAGTTATTTTTTTACCTCAGACTTTTTTGGTAAGTTGTGAGGTAAAAACCTTGCTGGCTCATTCATTCTTCATTGAACAACCATTCGTTAAGCACCGATTATGTACAAGGGAAATTCCAGGCTATCACAGAGCCTGGATACTAATGGAGAAGGACAGTTATCAAGTAAGCAAATACCTAAGATCATTTCAGTTAGTGAGGAGGGCTACAAACAGAATGGAACAGGAGGATGTAATGGAGAATGTGAGTGGGTGAGCTTGGGAGAAAATTGGTTGGGGAAGTGCCATTTGAGCTGAGACCCGCAACGTAAGCAGGAACCAGCCCTGTGGAGACGTGGGACACAGGGTTCCCGGCAGAGAGAAGAGAGAGGAAAGCAAGTACAAACAGCTCAGGCAGGAGCCTCTGGACGTGCTGGGAAGGAAAGAAAGCTTATGTGATGCGTCCAAGTGAGCAAGGGGGCGACTGGTGGCAGATCGAGGTCAGAGAAGTAGCAGTGTAAGATCGTAGAATTCTGACTCTATGCTAAAAGGAGAAGTTGGTGGAAGATTTTAGTCAAGGGAGGGATGTAACCTGCTCTGTGTTGTCAAAGATGGAGCTACATGTTATGTGACAAGTGGATCTATTTTAGCTTTATAATTTGGGCTGATCCCAATTCATCCAGGAGTTCTACTGGGGTCAGTGTTACTTTTATTTTCTATTTTTTGCAAATCCAGATTAGCTTCTGCTGTTTCTCCTTATTATCTTTAGACTTGACCTCCAGAAACAGCAGGGCCTTCTAGGTGATGACCTTTCCTAGCGCCAGAGAACATGACCATCATGACCTAGTATAGGAGAAAATCAGTCCATTGCCTCATGCTTTCCTAGCAAACACATTTGTTTGTCTGACCTGGAAAAGCTATGCTGCAACTCTGCCAAAAACCAAGAATTTTTGACAGGTCAGCTATACTAGATTAATTAGAGTGACTGTAGTTTTCCCTGAAAGTATAAACCAGTTCTACCAGGTTACTGCCCTCAGGACACAGGCCTAAAACATGGCTAGCTGTATAGGTTTTCTAAGTGAGAGACTTCAGAATTATGACTGAAGGATAAACTACTTGAAGTATGAACTGTGCCAGCCCTCAATGGATGGCGCAAGCCTGTTCTCCAAGACTTCAGGGTCAACTTTAACAATAACAGTGACAATAGTCACCACTTCCTGAGCACTTAGTTTTCGCCAAGCATTCATCCAACTCAGGTGTTGGCAAACTTTTGTAAAGGACCAGACAGAAAGTGTTTTCAGTTTGTGGGCCATCTGGTCTTGTTGCTAGCAGAGCTCAACTTTGCTGCGGTAGTAAGACGGCAGCTACACGTAATACGGAAGGAACGAGTCTGGCTGTGTTCCAGCGAAACTTAATTTTCCTGAACAGGGGTGGGGCCAGATGTGGCCCACAGGACACAGCTTGACGGCTCCTGATCTAAATGACTTACTGATGACCCGTGGTCTAAGTGACTTACATGTACTAACTTATTTGATCTTCAAAACACTCTATAGCCTTTAATTTACAAATGAACCGTGGCACAGAGGGGCCATGTAACTGGCTTGGACGGCACAGCTCATCCCTTGCAGAGCTGAAGTTCACACCCACACAGAGTGACTCCAGGCACTGAGCACAGAGGCACCTCAAGTGTGCCACGGCCAGGACTAGCCCTGCGCTCAGTCGTCTACAGACTTCATCGAAGTTTACGAGTTACCTGGATTCTTTATAAGATGCCTACCTCATAGGACTGTGAAAGAACAAAAGGCTGGGGGGCGGAATGAACCAAACGGTACAATGCTTGCATCAGCACAGTGCTTCGGAGGAGTGGTCAAGTCACTCCACATTTCTGTGTCCTTGTCCTTCTGATGTAATATTTGAGGGATACCAGGGGTCTCTGGGTTACTGAGGACACCTGTGCCTGGATACGTGTGATCATCTTGGCAGTTCACAGAAGAACTGTAATATTACCAGCCTAAGATTTTTGTACTTCTGTTTTTTCCCCTACATATTTCATGTGATTATTGTGAAGATCAAATAAAGGGGAAAGAAATATAGAGAGCTGTGGAGAATAAAGAATTTCTGGGATAACAGAAATTTGGTAGCATAAACTATACACCCAGTGAGACATTTTATGCTTCATTTTATTTCTCTAAAAATATGGGTAAGTATGTGTGCTCTTTAACAGCCGTGCTGGGGAACGCACCTGGATTTTTAAGAGATTAATAGACATATCTGGAGTTAGATACATGGGGAGGTCTTAAATACCCTTTACCCAGTTTACTCCAACTGTATCATCTGCACAGCTATAGTTCGATACCAAAGCCAGGAGACTGACATTGGTAGAATACACAGAGCTTATTCAGTTTCACCAGCTTCACATGCCCTTATGTGTGTGTGTGTATGTGTGTGTGCACAGCTCTATGCAATTTTATCATATGTGTAGATGAATGTAACCACCACCACAATCAAGACACAGAACAGTTGCATCAACACAAGGCTGCCTCATGCTACTCTTTTATAGCTATGCCCTCCCTCCTTAACCCCTGGCAACCAGTAATCTGTTCTCCATCATTCTAATTTTGTTATTTCAAGAACGTTACACAAATGGAGTCATATAGTATGTAATATCATATATTT